ACATACAATTACATACATACATACATACATACATACATACATACATACATACATACATACATACATACATACATACATACATACATACATACATACATACATACATACATACATACATACATACATACATACATACAGTACGTACATACATACATACATACATACATACATACATACATACATACATACATACATACATACATACATACATACATACATACATACATACATACATACATACATACATACATACATACATACATACATACATACATACATACAAATTACATACATACAATACATACATACATACATACATACATACATACATACAATTACATACATACAATTACATACATACAATACCTACATACATACATACATTACATACATACAATTACATACATACAATTACATACATACAATTACATACATACAATTACATACATACAATTACATACATACAATTACATACATACAATTACATACATACATACATACATACAATTACATACATACATACATACATATATATATATATACATATATATATATACATACCCTCATCGCTGCAAACACCTGTCCCACTACTTTTGGACTTTGGCCTTGGCCACTGCCAGGAGGCCAAGGCCATGAAGGGTCGCGAGGCACGGGAGAGGTCCCAGCGCCTGCAGGAAGATGAGCAAGCGGAGTATGGTGAAGGAGCTCTGATGGCTCTGGGATTCAAATGGAGATATCAATGACTGTAAATATGTGGGAACAAAGCCATTTGAATATGGATTGTGGGATAATCAATATTTGGGATTATCAATGTAGATATCAATTCTACATCCAAATTTATGGAAGATAAATACATGGGATATTACGGGATATAGAATTGTGGTGGGAAGAAATTGATTGTATCATGGGACCAAAATGAGATCTAGTTGATAGGTTCATTGATGATTTTATGGGATATGGCCATGAAATAATTCAGGGATGAACATCCGTTCACCAGCTATTTTGGTGTGAACAGTGGAGTATGGGTTTTGACCCACACCGATATAATGAAGGCATCCTTTGTGATATATATAGACGGGGGGTTGAGCATCTGTATGATATTTTCTCGGGATTTTACGAACCACCCCAGTTAGTAAGATGTTTTTGGCACAATAGTCTAAACAAACCCAAGTAGGGGTGTACATTGTACATGATAATAAACTGCAATTTGGGGATGGTTTATTATTGTGGTTCCCCAATTTGATAGTGAATATTCGTGCACGCACGTGTTTTCCCATGAAGAGGCATTAACCAGCCATGGGGACTTTGGTGAAGAGATGTGAAGAGTTCAAGCACACGAAGCGTCTCGCCCGTTTATAAGGTTTACATGTGGCCACCAAGCACTGTGGTTCCTTCGTTTTCACAATTTGGAGAGGTTGCAACTCTAGCTGTAGTGATTAACCAAAAAAAGACGGTGTTTCCTTTGATTCCCAAGTAATGCGGGGGAGGCCCAATCGTAGCAAGCTCACATTCATTGCCACCGCACAACTCCGGCACTAAGAAACATGTAAGGTACGGACATTGTTTTTCAAAACTTGTACGAACATGGGATCAGCGATAGCACATTCCCACATAGCGATGCACCCTTTGAAGGTTATGTCATACCCGTGCACATACATCATTTCCCTTCAAGCCATACCTAAATTTGCCATGCATCATTTTTGTACAAATGTGTGGTAAGCGATGGGACATTCCCAAATTTGTTGCACCAGGACCTCATGACAAGGCAGGCAAGACGCACCGAGCGCAGCGCTTTGCAGCCTGGTTGCTCAAGATCTATGGTGAGGAGGCAGGGTGACCAGGGATTCTCAAGACATTCAAGGGTCACAACGTTGCACTTGGTATGCATCTGTGTGAAAAAGATTTGCAAGTGATAGTGATATTCATTCGAGCATAACTGTTCTCATCGCTTTGCCCAGAATATCCTCCGGAATTCATGAAATTTCATGTTCTTTCGCTTTCGCAGGTGTCTTTGTCGGTCTGGAAATTGGGTAACCTGGTAACCCCAAAATCAGGTGCTGAGCTCTGGTCGTGGAGTGCTGGATGTTGCTGGCGGTCAAGGGGATCTATCGTGGCAGCTGAGCATCCCGGTGAAAATGCAGTAAGGGTAAATTGCATTACCCTCTGGTAAAATAACATAGCTATGGAAAATCACCATTTTTAATGGGAAAATCCACTATAAATGGTCATGTTCAATAGCTATGTTAAATTACCAGAGGGTAAAGTGCCAGATATCTCTGGATAAACCCGAACAAACAACGGATTTGCAGAGCTGGAGAGAATCCACAGCTGTGCAGAGACATTCTGACACGTATTTGAGTGGTTTGCAAAACCCAGGCGTCGAGTATGGCATCCCATGTACATTGATCGATCCAGCGTTGCGGAGAGGCCTAGACTATGGGAGTGGCCATCTCCGAATGCCGCATTGCCATCTCCCCACCCAAGAGATCAACAAATTGTTTCGTAGTTTTTGTTTAACCATGTTACAATGTTACGCCATGTTACGCCCTTCTCGGGCCTGTGAATAGTTGAATCGAGGCGTCAGATGACAAATCATGACAACCAGTCCTATCCCAGCAGCAGGTGGTGCCTTAAAGAGCTGGCAACGGCGGGCGCTTCGCAAACGAGGCGAATATGGGGATCACCAAAAATATAAGGATCCTCAAATGAAGACCTGAAGGGATCTTTAGAGATCTCCATTTTCATCACTTGGGAAACCAACGAGGTGTGGGATGACGAATTCCCTCTGACAAACTTACCTGGAGGCCTGGAATTAGCCATACCTCGTTGGTTTTTGCTGGATGTTCAATAAGAGGGGATGGTTTTCCGCATCTAACTCTCGATTAATTACCTGGCTGATCATTTAAACATCCAATAGATGTATGATAAATGGTTCCTCTCCATCCATTTGGGAGGAAGATCCCTAATGATCTACCTTGGGTGGATCTTACACGAGGATTGTATGTCCAGTTTTAGACACGCCCAAAAAACGTGCCATGGATCGCCATATTTGGGGGATGGTCATAGCACCAATTGGTCAGGATTATACACCAGCAGTCAAAACAGGTGCACGCGCGCAAACTGTTTCTTTCGTCAGGATTATAATAGGGCCAGGGGTTATTGATGGTTACCAGTAGGACCGCACAAGGCGGTGGCGGAAATTTCAAAGATATAGGAAACTATAGGAGAGGTGAGTTGTCCTGATGCATGGATGGCAGAGTAAACCCACTGATGGGTCGAAAGGTGCTTGAGGGTCTGAGTCTCTCATTCTCTCTATTAGTCTCCTGCTCGTCTCTTTCCAACTGTCTCTATCTTTCTCTCTCTGTCTGCTTGTCGCTTGATTTGAAGACATTCCAAGACTTCAAAGATTCCCCATGGCATTCAACTTGTACCGTAGCAATGTCCTCCTTCGTCCTGACGTCGCTGACGGCGGAGCCTACTCTCGACCTGCCGAGGCACAAAACATTGGAAAAAAACACGGAGTTTCGCGATTTTCCCACCTTTTCGTGTGCCTTGATCTTATGTCGGCTTGTTTTCTCTTCTGACTTTCTCTTCTCTAACTGTTCCCGCCTCTGCTGCTTCATCTGTCCATATTGTCGGAAGTTTGACTTCTAAACTTCCTTCGGTTATATTATAGATGCTGTAATATAATTTACATACACCCATTCAAAGGATTCCTCTTCATGATCGTGGGATGATATCCTGTTGGTATCCCATGGTATCCCATTGAAATCTCATTGAAATCGCATTAAAAATATCACTATAATACCCTTTTGAAAAAAAAAAGAGCATTAATCCCGCGCATTTAAACCATGGCATTGCTTTGGGATGGTTTGATCAAGGCCGAGAAGAAGCCTTTGAGCACTTCCCTGTGAGCTTCGAGGACGCTGCACGTCATCTTCCGATGTCGAACTCGCAAGTTGCGAACTTCGAAGAATTAGTGGGGTAAAAGATGTAAAAGCGGGGTGTACACCAGGTGGAATCCATGAATAATCCATATAATAAGTTTATAAGTGGGTGTGTAAAGAAAAAAGTATGGAACTGCAATTTTCTTGGGTTTGAACTGAGTTCCCTGAACAAAATAGCCAACTTCAGGGAACATCCATCAGTTTTGCAACCCTAAATTTTTGGAAGATTCTTGAAATCATGGTTTTCAACTCGCAGGTCATGTCAGTTTTGAGGCTTTCAGACATGTGCCATGAATGCTTGAGAATAGTTCACAAGAAATTACGGCAACGAGGAGAAAACCTTTCGCTCAGGCAGCAACCAAGAAGTGATCCTTGGCAACCGCACTGCAGCATGTGTTCTTGTGTTTTTTTGCCATCCAAGAAACAATTGAAAATGTGCGTGTCCTTGTTACATCTTGTTACTTGCCGTTTGCCTTTCATGCCGTTCCTTTGCATGGCCTCAGCGAGCCCTCCAGCCTTTGATCCCTTGACTCTTTGCACTGCATGTGACATGTTCTACCATCATCTACCATCCATGTCCATTCTTTGTCTGTGTGCGTGTGTCCCGATGTGTTCCGTGGTCCCGGAATCCCTTTCCAATCTATCCAGAACATTTCAGGCTGAGGGTTTTGACCATACTTGGCTCAGGCTCCGCAGTGCTTCTGTGGTGGTGGGCCTCCATCCTGATGAGGCGCTGACGCCTACAATGATCGACTCGACTAGTTGCAATTGGCTCTTGAAGCCCATTGAATTGGAATGTGATTGAGGGATTCATACGATTTTAAAACATTATCAACATTTTAGAACATTTTACACCATGTTTGAACATTTCGCAACAGTTTACACAATTTTACAACCACATTTGAGTGGCATCATAATAGCTGGGAGAATCTAGGTGTCTAAGCTTACTTGCACTAGACCCCAGATGGCTTTGAAGGCCACCGAAGCTATCGTTGACGTGGCCTTGGCCGAGAAGCGACGCTTCGCCGTGGTGCCGTGCTGCGTTTTTGCCGAGCGCTTCAATCACCGGGAGCTCTCACCAGGCAGCCGAAAGTGGCTGGATTGTTGGCACGGTTGGCACGACCAGTTTTTACAGCAGTAAACGATGCCGTTGCAATCCTTTCGGAATGTGTACTAAAACATTTGGCGGAGTCCCTGTGATCCCTGCATGAACGAGATGAACAGACTCGTGAGACTTCATCAGTTGCTTGAATGACTAGAATCGATGCTGTGACAGCGTTGGAAGTGTGTCACCAGAGGTGTACCTGTGCGAACGTTGAACCAGTTCTGTGCCTATTTGCGGGCAAAGGACCCACGGATTCAGGAACCTTGGCTTGAAACATTGGGGGCAGCTCTTCAAAACCTAAGATTTAGCCAGTCAAGTCTGTTTGACGTTCAATCAGATAAGCAATCATCAGCTTTAGAAAGGGTGGATAACATTGGATAACATTGGTAGAATGCAGGAGCTTTACCATTCGACCAATGTTTGTCATCAATCCAGGAAGACATGTTGGACTTCGAGGGTCGCAACAAGGTCCTGTACATACCTTAGTCATCCTTAGCCGCAGATCTCTTTGCCCGACTCCAATGGTCCAACAGTGGGTACCCAAAACATGGGGATGGCCCAGGGACAGGTGGCTGGCCTGAAGCCGCAAAGGGACAACCTGCTGGATGGCGAAAAAAAAACATCATATCATGATATATCATGAATACTCATATTATGTTATATTATGTTGCATATGTTTTGAAGCATTTTGCGTTAGTTTGCTGCTGTCCATATTTTGCCGGGTTTTTCAGACGCAGTACTGTAGCAGATGAGAAACTTTGCAGGACATTCAACACATGGCGGAGTCAGGCCATGCAGGAAACAGCTTTGAAAACTCTTAAAGTCTTTAAAGGCAACATGATTTGGTGCGGTGAATTTTTGAGTGGTACTCAATGCCGATCTTTGCAGGGCAACTCTCCCGGCACCAAGAAGATGCGTTTGGCTCTAGCTTTGTCGAAGCTGGGTGCTTTGCTGGCAATGTAGGGGATGTTCACACGTCCCAGCACTTTTGATTACTTTTGATTGGATTTGATTGGTAGACATTTGTTTTGCAGAAAACCCATGAAAACTCCAAAATTGGGCGTTTACACGTTGATATAAAACGAATTGAACAGATGCCACCTGACGAATTGTCAGAAAACTCCGCCGCTTCGCAGCACGGCGCCAGGTACAGAGGCTGAGGCGCTGCAGTTCGGCCTTTTACAGCTGAGTCGTCATCGAAGGTCTCAGCAACGAAAGGTGCAGCTGATTGGCCATGAAATGCCAATGACCAGGGGTTGGATTTCATTCGGATATGTTGATATGTTAGAATCAATTGTTAAATTTAATTCTCACATGTACTATATAAGCGTAATAATTGTTAACAACTATTATCATATAGTATAATATATATATATACCAGTAGTACCGCACAAGGCGGTGGCGGAAGTTTCAAAAAGAGGAAACCTATAGGAGAAGTTGGTTGTTGTGAATCAGGGATGGCAGAGCGAAGCCACTGATTGACCGAAAGGTGGTTGGAGTTGTGTTTGCTGGAATGGTTGCAATGGTTGCAGTGGTCACCTCACCCACAACTGCTGGATGTAGTGTGATGTACTGCAACTGTAGTTGTAGTTGTAGCGTAGTGGAGTTGTAGTTGTGGTGTAATGTAATTAGTGTAGTGTAGTTGCAGTCATATGGTTGTAGCTGTAGTTGTTTTGTAGTTGTAGTTGTAGTTGTTGTAGTTGTAGTTGTTGTGTGGTTGTAGTTGTTGTGTAGTGTAGTAGTAGTAGTAGTAGTAGTTGTTGTTGTGTAGTTGTTGTAGTTGTTGTAGTTGTAGTTGTTGCTGTTGTTGTAGTTGTAGTTGTAGTTGTAGTTGTAGTTGTTGCTGTTGTTGTTGTTGTTGTAGCTGTAGTTGTTGTAGTTGTAGTTCTAGTTGTAGTTGTTGTGTAGTTGTAGTTGTAGTTGTAGTTGTAGTTGTTGTTGTTGTTGTTGTTGTTGTTGCTGTTGCTGTTGCTGTTGTTGTTGTTGTTGTTGCTGTTGTTGTTGTTGTAGCTGTTGTAGTTGTAGTTCTAGTTGTAGTTGTAGTTGTAGTTGTAGTTGTGTAGTGTAGTTGTTGTAGTTGTAGTTGTAGTAGTGTGTAGTTGTTGTTGTTGTTGTTGTTGTGGTTGTTGTTGTTGTTGTTGTTGTTGTTGTTGTTGTTGTTGTTGCTGTTGCTGTTGTCGTCGAAGTTAGGGTAGTTAAGTTAGTGAAGTTAGTTAAGTTAGTCAAGTTAGTTAAGTTAATCAATGTCTACTTTTTCGACATCTTCACGTCAAAAAAGGCTCAAAACCCTCAGTTTTTTTACACTTTTGACTTCGAAATGTGCTTCGCGCCACAACGGCGTGCACTTTTTCGACACTTTTTCGACATCTGAACCTCCAAAAGTGGTCCGAGACCGTCAGTTTTTAACACTTTTGACTTGGAAATGTGCTTCGCGCCACAACGGCGTGCACTTTTTCGACATCTCAACTTCCAAAAGTGGTCCGAACCCTGTGTTTTGTACATTTTGACTTGGAAATGTGCTTCGCGCCACAACGGCGTGCACTTTTTCGACATCTCAACTTCCAAAAGTGGTCCGACCATGGTGTGCTTTGTACATTTTGACTTCGAAATGTGCTTCGCGCCACAACGGCGTGCACTTTTTCGACATCGCAACTTCCAAAAGTGGTCCGACGCTGAGGTGTTTTGTACATTTTGACTTGGAAATGTGCTTCGCGCCACAACGGCGTGCACTTTTCTGACATCTCAACTTCCAAAAGTGGTCCGAGACCGCCAGTTTTTAACACTTTTGACTTCGAAATGTGCTTCGCACCACAACGGCGTGCAATTTTTCATCGCTCCTGTGGCCAGCTGGCTCCGCACCCGCCGCTTTAGCGAGCCTACTTTTCGACCCTCCGGAGCCACAAATCATTGGAAAAACACAGTGTTTCGCGACTTTCCTACCTTTTCGCGCATCTGTATCTTCTGTCTTCTTACTCTTTCTCTTCTGATCTTCTCTCTTCTAATCTTCCTCTTCTCTCTGCCTCTGCCCTGCTCTGCTTTTCATCTCTCCATATTGTCGGAAGTTTGACTTCTAAACTTCCTTCGATAAGTTCTATGATTTTCTAACTATGTAGTTTGTTTATGTCTGTTTTGAGTGTTTTCAGTTGAGATCTTGAAACGCGGAACTCATCACAGGAACGAGAGGCTCTCCTCGACCAGAACGAAGCAGATGGTTTTTATCAAGGCACCAGGTGGTTGGGTTTCTTTCTATGGGGGCACCCCCTATAGCTGGATGGTTTATTTCGTTTATTTCATGGAAAATCCGAAAAAAAAAACCGAAGAAAAATATAGAAAAATGAATGATTTAGGATGATTTAGGGGTACTCCCCATGACTTAGGAAACCAAAATGAAGTACGTTGAGGCCTTTGGGAGTCCAATCCTGCTTCACGTCGTCGTAGCGGCGCTCTGCTCCTGCATCTTGCGCTGCTAAAGTGCAGCAGCTGGGCTTAAATTCAGCGCTTGGGATGCCTGCAATGTGTCCACAGGTGATTCTCTACGTATGGGTTGTGATTTCTATGTGATGACTTATGATTGTTTATGATTGTTTATGATTGTTTATGATTGTTTATGATTGTTATGATTCATGATTGTTATTGAGGGATCGGGATGGGATTTTATTGTGGGTGTTTCTGCTACCGTCAGCTTGAGCGGCAGCAAGCAACATGATATTTTCATGAAAAGGTGGCATGATTTCATGGCTAAAGCTGTCGAGCAAGGCCTTGTTCGAAAAGCAGCGGCGCTGAGTGGCTGGAGCCACTTCTGCGCGCATTGCTTGGGAGCTGATGTGCAGCAGCTTCAAAAGCACACAGAGTTCCCTGGCGAGTCTGACGAGGGTCAATCTTCATGTTCCCAACTGTGCCTATTTGTCAAAGCCAAAAGACGACAGAATTGTTGAATGATTGGGCGAACAGATTGTGTTTCCTGCTCCGCGGAACTGTTTACCAGGAGTGTCAATGCTGACCTGGTCGCCTACAAGCGAAAAGTTGAGGTGCTGCTCCAAGTGCAAGAGTGCAAGAGGTTTGAATACATGCAATTATGAATAATACGTTCTGTTGATCCTGGCAGTGGTTATGTATGATTGATTGTGGTGATGATCTTCTGAGAATGTTGGTAATGTGACATCCACAAACACAATTATACTATATTACATTGATGCACCAGCAGGTCGAGGGCCTTTTGAGATGCTTTGTGTTTGGAACTGAGCCAGTGATGATATTCTGCTATTGACATCCATTGACTACGGTGACTACAGTTTCAATGTCTGGAGCTGCAACGTTCATCAAAGTGTCCCCAATGATTCCTGGTTCCTGTCGTGCATATCATTGCCACATATGGCTATGGATCAATACCGTCAATACCTATTAATACCATTTTTAGGGGGATGAACATCCATAAATCCCAGCTATTTTGATGTGCACCAGGGGTACATGGTTTTGACCCACTGCCATATCATTGCCACACATTGTCACCAGAGGCTTTAAATGCTGAGGTTCAGCCTCAGCACTGCAGTGCAGCGGCGGCAACTCATGGCACTTTCAAGTCTTGCACCTCAAGGCATTTGGCGTTGTGCAGCTTTGGGATTTGCCCAGTCATGTTGGTACACGTTGGTACATGTTGGTACACAATAGAAGGGATCCTTGATGGAGATGAAATGAGATGAAGATGGTTTTGAGGGGAAATTTCTGGGATGACTTGATGTGTTTGACAAAGAGCACTAATTGCAGGAGGCCAGTAGTACTGTCACTGCGAGCGACTCGATTGCCGCCCAGGTGCTTCTAAGCGACTGCTCTTCCAGCCAGCCCCGCGCACTTGACAAGGCAGGTCCCACCTTGCTCACAGTTCTCAGGATCTCGAGTGAAACCAGTGAAACCAGAACCCAGAAGTCAGCCTGTTTGAAACAGTTCAGTCAGTTGAGTCAGTTCAGTAATTTCAATTGGCTGTGTCTGAAAATAGGGTACCCCCAATTATAGCCATTTAATAGGGAAACTGATCATTAACCATTGGGTTTAGGCACACAACATTTTCAGACAAACCCAATTGGGTTGTCCTTGGAGGCTTGGTGTCCAGCAACTTCAGCGACTTTCCGAAGCTACCGAAACAGCTGCTGCATGCTGCTTTTCTCAGCTGGAGGGATGCGAGGGACTCCAGCATGATTCGGTGGACGGGAAGTAAGAGTAACCAGGACTTGAAATGGCGCTACATTTCGCTGGCTGGATTCGAGAACACGGACGTCCTGCTGAATCTGAGCACTTTGATGCCGGTTTGCATGTCCAATGCAGTCGCTTCAAAAGCACTGCCATGTTTGCGACGATCCAGTGTTGATTTGGAGAAGTGCTCTTGGCAAAGAGACTCCATCCTTTTCTGATGCCCGACACACCGCGATTGGTTGGAGCATGTTGAAGCTATGGAGCCAATAGCCTTGGGAAAATGGGAAAAATGCATAAAATGGCCTAGATTCTAGATTACACTGCGGTGCACAAGTCATGCACTGATTCATGTGCACTGTCAGTCAGCCTCAGACTGTCAGATGCTTTGCCGTCTTCGCTCTTGTGGATGTCGTTGTTGCCCACAATGGATGAGGTAAGAGCACATTGTGGGGCAGTGTTGAAGGTGGGGCGCTTGGTGCAAGAACACGGAAGCTTGTGTTTGGAAGTTTGGAACATGGTTTTCAAATGTGTTCAAACATGCTCAAACCAACCCTTTGACTGTCTACTTTGCCTTGTCATTTCTTGCCATTGGCTGCTTGGATGCTTGAAGGCGGTGTTACAAGTGTGGTAGACACGATTCTTATGAAATCCTGGTGTGTACCTGGAAACTGGATTTGGCGCTGCTTCTATCAACGTTTCAAGAAGGCAGAATGTGCTTTGTTCCTAGGTGACCCGCTTTCCCAACTGCTGGAGGAGAACTCAGATCCTGATCAAAATGGTCCTGTTGTACTATCCTTGCGAGAAAACTTAAGCAAAGCATAGCACAGCAGTTTCAATTTTGATGTTTGTAACAATTTGTACTTAAGGCAATCTTGATGAAGTGCAGTTGGTTGAATCCTGGAGGAGAGTCTTGAAACTCACTTGCCATCCATCGGCACATCGGGTGCAAATGCTGTTGGATTCTTAGTGACCATTCTGCCTCGGGTTCGGCGAGGTAAAGTTTGAATCTTGGTTTTTTAAGCACCATTTGGGGGTGGGTTAAAACCTATGAAATTACATGAAATTACCATAGTTGGGAGATTGACCGGCTATGGAAAATATTATGTCATCAAATTTCTAATGTTCTCCGCACACCAATCCAAGTTGTTCTTGATATTTTTTGATGAACTGATGAACAGTCAACAATGGACCAAGAATCTTGCGCTCAACTGATTGCTTTCACTGTGAATGACCTCTTTCCCTTCAAACATGTGTTGCTGATCACCAACCCTCCTGTTGTACCACTGACACGTCCTCATAGCATGCTGCGCCCATGATATGTCCCTGAGATCATCTTTCAGTGTGTTTCAACCTTCCCTTTGTGAATGCGGTGTCCCATCATGTGTTTGTGCCTCCAGCTGCTGCAGAGAAAGATATAGACTACTATGGGGTTTTGTTTTTCCAGTGCTGTCCCCACGCAGACCCGCGGGAATAAGATTGGCTGAACACTGATATGTTTCACATTGTTTGACTTTGTGCGGGTATGTTTGACAAAAAATCCTCGCAACTGAATTTAAACAGAGAGCATTTTTGCCAGTTCAGCGTGAATTTTTGCCAGTTCCATGAGGAGATGGTTCGGTCAGATGTGATGCACATGCCATCAGGTCCTCCTTGCAGCCTTTCTCGGAAGATGTTGGAATTCGCAGCCAGGGCCACAAGGATCACAAGGACCGAAGCTCAGTGTTTTTCCATGTCTACTTGAATAAAATGGTCCTAAATTACCTCAATGGGCTCAAGCTTTGATGGAGGTATACAAGACATTCTAAGACGAAATTGATATCTTTGAGAATCTGAGAAACTTGTGATATCTTGGATCGTTTGATCACCTTGGCACACACTCAATCATGTTCGATGCTGTGAATCGTCTCCTTTGAGGTGATGCCGCTCCATCTTTGCCGGTCCGGAGCATAGCGAATGGTGTTTGGAGCAATTGAAAAGCTCCGGGGGTATCTGTGAGATTCTTTGACTTGGAGCCGGGTAAAGCATAGTGTCTCAAAGCCCATCACCCGATCGTTTGAAGCAAATGACTCACGATCGCTTTGGCTCAAGCATCCAGCCCCATTTTTTATCGGCAGCTTTGAGTTTTGCCAAACAGATATCTATTCTGCTTTTCTCATGCGGATCACTTGGGCAGCGCTATCAGCTCTGCTGTTCCTTGCTTGCTCAGCAACTCGTCATTCGACAGTGGATCAGCGCGATGTTCAGCAGGACCAGGAGCACATGGAAACAGAAGATGATTGCAAGAGCTGCAAGAGGCAGAAGGAATTCGTGGACAAAATGTTGGCTCAGAGTAGGAAGGAGTATGATGAGTTGAGGATCAAGTACAAGAAACTCAAAAAGAAGTACGCAGAATTGTACGACGAATTGAAGGCCCAGTTGGAGGATGATGACTCTGAAGACGATTTCATTTTCGCCCGCAAATAGCCAGTACATATTCTGAGTGACATGCTCTCGCTTTGAGAGGAAAAGCAAAGAAATAATAAGCAATGTGCATGCACATCATTTGATATCATGTGTGTGTTTGCTATGCATTTCATTCCATGTTCATCCATTTTCACTTTCGACATCTTTCATGCTGGACCTTTCAAAGTATTGAATCGCCTCGACTTTCCAGGCTGCAAGCTATGCTCGGCTTCTGCATCGCCTTGGTCTTGATTTTGCAGAGAGCTGGCTTGGTGCTCTGCTCAGAGATGGAAAGGCATAGCTGGCATAGCTGCAACATGTTGCAACCAATGTTGGAAAGGTACAATTTAAGATTGGAATATATTGGAATATATTGTGATTGGTATGGACAGGTTGTGCAGATTCAGTCACATGTTTGCTTTCTTTTCGTGTCTCATGCTTTCAAGATCTCCATTTAGGTTTGGCGGCTGCAGGCTTGACTTTGGGATGTTAAACTGTTAAACATTGTTAAACACTGCTACGGACTCGTCGAAATGACTCATTTGGAAAAGCCTTGTACGTATCACAAGAACACCAGGACGTTCTCAACAGGTTGGTATCAGGAACGGGTATGTGACTGACTGGTACAGTCAGGTGAATGCACCGCTTGATCCGTTTGTTGTTGTTGTTGTCGTCGTCGTCGTCGTCGTTGTTGTTGTTGTGCTTTTAAACATGTTTTAACTGATTGACTTTCCGAATTCCAACTGTTTTGAATCCTCAAAAACTGTCAGAGGTTGGCACTTGCCGCACGAGAGCTTGACGAAAGCCTTGGCAGAAGAACTATGCAATGTTAAAAAGGCCTGGTAGTCGTTTGATGATGTCATAAGACTTGCTAGCAGATGACAGACAGACTAAAATATTGATTGAAGATAGTAGGACAGCTCTGACTTGATATTCAAAGTTTGGCCAAAACATGTTAAAACCTACACAACCGATAGGGGACCACGCACTTCAAAACCGCCTCCATGTCAAGTTAGTAGGCAATAGTGTGGTCCGCCACTCATATGAATCCAGAAGAATCCCTATGATATCAGAGGAACGGGGCTTCCCAATATAAAGATTACAGTATAAAGATAGCCTCTGGTTATTTAACATAGCCATGGGAAATGGCCCATAGAAATAGATGGTTTACCTATTAAAAATGGTGAATCTTTCCATGGCAAACTGTTAAATAACCAGAGGGTAATTTGTTACAGTATTTTGACGCAGGACAGTTTCCCTCATCTTGCTGCTGCTGTGTCCTGCTGGCACGTTGGTGCATCGGCCGCCAGTATCGAAATACAGTGTTTGTGACCTGTGTGTGTCATAGAGAGGGAGATATATGGAGATATCCTAAAGCAAAGCGGTCGAGGAATGCATGCACCCTTGACATATCTTGACATGTTGCAAATCATGTTTTTGAAGGCTAAGGCAATGATGCCAAGGAGTTACAACTCGATTGAAAGCCAGGCTTGCGCTTGCCGAAGGTCACAGAACCCAAGTCGCCACCGCTCTGCAGAAGGCGAGAACTCAAAGAGATTGCTGTCGATTTTGCATCAGACACAGTCTTTGCTTGTATTTTTGTGCCAGACATGGTGTGTAGCCATGAACTGTACACTTCAGTTGACTTTCTTGGGTTGGTGACGGTTGGTGTTTTCTTGCAGTCTGAGCTGCCTGTTTCTCCTTATGAAGGTGAACCATGTTCAATTTATTACAGTGTATGGTGTTTTTTGATGTTTTAACTCCCTATTCTTTGCAACGAGGTTTCTGGAAAGTTGTCTCTTCAGGTAGCATCCACCTCAGCCAGTGGAGTCAGCTGTGGAAGCCACTGGCAATGTTTGAGCCCCTTTTCTAAGGCCTTCTCATTTCTCCAAGCAATGCTAAAGGAGGTTTGCCAGAGAGCAGAGCAGGCTGTGTCTGAAATCGGGTATGCAGCCACGTACCCAAGAAATTGTAAGAAATCGCATGGTTTGTCATGATGTATCATGGTTTATCAACATTTTCCCCATGCAAAAGAGTCTAGAATGCCGTAATTAGATAATATTAGATACCCATAGAATGCCATAGATTGATACATATATAAATATATATAATTGGAACTTGGATAACTATGGATAACTATGGACAACTATGGATAACTATGGAAAATTTGGGGCATGGTATAGCCATGTATAGCCCATGGGTAGCCCATATTGAGCCGCCTGAAGGCCACGGACACCTGGGTGCCTCTGGCAGTGTCACTCTCATCTCGGGCCTTGCAGGATGCTGTAAATCTGATGAAATTGGGAAAGGAAAAGGATAGAAAACCGGATAAAAACTGATCGATACAATATGATATAATGATAGAATCGGATAGAATCTGATAGAATCTGATAGAATACTTATCATTGCTGATATTTTGATACTGTTGATGTCCACATTGTCCACCAGTCCAAATCTCAAGAAAGGCCGGGTTGCTGTTTAACATTCTGGATATCAATGATATCCTGGTGATGCATGCATCAGGACTCCCGTGCTGATCAGTTCCCTCGCGAGCCTCTGAGAAAGTCGATGGAAAAGTCAGCTTCCCAGGGGAAGTGAAACAATGCAGAGCTGAGATGCTTGAAACCCGCACTCCTGGCAAGTTCAGTGTTTTTTTGTGCCAGTGTTGAATCGAAACTTGCGACTGAAGGTGCGCGGAACCGACAAGAACTGCCTGGCTGCAGGTCAAGGGTAGACATGTGATGGGTAAAAATTCACCCACAAAGGGGCGAAAGGACCACAGACCAACAGCCCATGCCAGGTTTTGGAGCTTCTGGAAGAGGTTCCAGAAAGAGGCTGGGAACAGATGTCACAGCAGAATGGTGATACGAATCAAGGATTTTCCAATGTGAATGGGGAGGAACATCCATTTGCAAGCTATGTTGATGTTCGGAACACAGGTGTTTGATTCATAGTCATATGGATTTGGGTCGGATTTGGGTAGAGACATGCTTGTACTGCTTGTATGTGCCGTGGCAAATGCTGGTAGGTGATTCCACTCCCTGATAGGGACATGTTAAGTTGTGAGGCAATTTTGATCATGCGTGAAGAAGTATCTCACACTTTAATGAAGGGCCAATTTGCAGGAAACCACCATATTTGGGACTAAACAAATAAACGAACATGGTAACATGGTTTTAAGTTTCCCATAGATTTTCCAATCAAACTAGTAACTAGACCCTTGGATACTTTGGACTTGCAAGACAAAGGTGTGAGGCAGTGAGTCTGTGAGGCCTCTCAGAACAAGCTGCTCCAGAGCCATGGCAATTGGATTTGCATACTGAGGCGGGAGAGAAAGCATGGTAGAAATGATGAGAAGTGGCCGATTTTCGAGAGTCCCAAGACAGACCTGCCGTTGTCTTGCGGCATGAAGAGCCGTCGCACTTGATTATTCCTGGCTTCGATATGCTTGAGTCATCTTGAATCATGTTTTGATGCAGCAAGGCGAGAATATCCGAGGAGGGGATATACGGAATGACTATTGTCGTACGGCAGATGTACGGCAGATGTACAGCAGAAACATCCCTCCTTGTTGAGTGTTTGTGCAATCTGCGGAGGAGGTGGCACTATTTTGGCCCGATCTGGAAGCCATTCCAGCTCAGCTCGCAAAGCAAGGGTTGGAAGTGCCCCAGGTTCGCTTTGGCTGCGTGAGGAACAGTAGAGTCCGCCACATTGCTTGGCCCCATGTAAACTTTTCAGCCGATTCAGGCAGAGAAAGGAGCTTCAAAAGGCGAAGGCCTACTCTGAGACTGCTGCAGCACTGTTTAGGGCAACTCTTTGGGACCTTTGTGGTGGAATACTATGTGCCATCACTGCTCAGGATACAAGTTGTTGATTTTTCATGTTGCCTTCAGGTGCCCTTCAGATCGATTTGTATGCCAACCCTGCAGCGAAAGCAGCCCAGGTGAGAGCTTACTTCTTGGGTACTGGCTTTTGACAGTAGCAAGCAGCCTGTCAGTGATTTGCTACTTAAAACGTCTCGAACCCCAAGGAGTGTGCGCACAGCGCATTAGTCACGTAATTCGCCTGCATGATTGCACTTTCAGAACAACCATAGTAGACAGATAGCGCAGCTGTATGAAGCAAGCTGCAACAACGAAGAGAACACACAGACGCCAGGACGCTGTCGTGGCAGCGCTGCCGCCGAATCGTCGCTGCGAAGCCTTACTCAGTGCGGCAAAAGCAGAGGTGCACCACCTGCAGTTATTCCACGAAGACGGTTTTGTTTAGGACGAAGAATGCTTCATCGGGTTGTAGCTCCAGACCTGAAATGCTGGGTGAATTGGTGAATCACCACACCTTGTACGTTCTTTAAACCTTCGTATCCAAGGCAATGCAAGAAACCGTGCCTGCTCTTCTGGAAGCCTGGCAAGAGGCACCAGACTCCTGCACAGAACCTTGGCGAATGTGAACCAGAAACTCACCATAATCTACCACATATTTAGCATGAATTTGCCAGGTGCCAGATGTTTACAATATTTCAACATGTATTTCAACATATTTCAACATATTGTGTCAACACTTCATTTCCATATTTTTCATGGCATGTCCAGAGACTGTAAGAGACTTGGCCTTTGATACCTTTGGCGCATCGACCAAGGCAGTCCTCCTGCGACAGACGGAGCTACAGGCGAACTGGCCAATACCTGCATGGAGCCGAGCCGAGCAGAGACGTTTCACCAATCAAAAATGGAGGTTTCCATAAATAAATGGTTTATATAATGGAAAATATAATGGAATGGTTTATATAGTGGATCCCCCATTTTGATTATTATAATAAATGGGGGATCCTCAAAATGAATGGTTTATATAATGGAAAATCCTAGTAAAATGGATGATGAACAGGGGTACCCCCATTTTTGGAAACCTCCATTTGATGACCTGAAGATACCTGAAGAAATAGATGAAGAGATAGATCATGATAGATCCCAGTTTACCACATGGAAATACGGCTGGCCGGGCACTCTTGGTCATTCTTCATTTCCATGTCAATTGTCTTAAGACGACCACATTGCATTATTTTCACAAGTGAGGTCCTGGCACCAGTGCTGACTGCATTGATAAAAGAGGATGCACCAGGCGTTTGGGTGCGGTTCATTTGGCGACGAACGACAATTCGATGTCTGCTAAATACAGTAGGTTTCAAAATGTTTCATAATGCAGAAAAACTGGTATTGCTGACACGCACACTGAAATCCGAATGTCTTCTAGCCATACTGAGGCATGTCATAATATGATATAATATGAGAGAATATGCTGTAATGAGCTCCGAATGAGGTCTTGTGCATGTCCATTGCCACTGGAACTTGACAGGCTGGAAAACATGGAAGATGGGACCCTTTGATCGTGGCCTGCTGACAGCCACATGGGACTGGTGGCCTAGTGATTGCACATGATTGCACCATACTGTGGACATCTGTGGACTGCTAGAATCTGCTAGATGGATAGTGCTAATGTTTGACTATCCATCTAGCAGAAATCACTATCTTCATCTACCTTCCATGACTCTTCCATGTGACCATGATGGTCCCAAGATTCGTGCCGTAGGCTGGACTTTGTCGGGACCCTGAAATATCTGCAGGCGACTCTTTACAGCAACCATTCTGCCAGAGTGCTTGTAGCATCCTTTCTCCTGCTGTATACGGCATGAAGCAGCGATCACAATCATGTTTGAAGTAATCCCTCAAAGCCTCAAAGGAGCCAAGTTCTCGTGTGTGTTTGGATCCTTACCTTTGATGTCACCTTTGATCGCCTTGGAGCTTGCGTTCCGTTCTGGTCAGGTTTCTGGCTCTGGGCGTTGAACGAGTTGGTAGTTCCAAACCTTTCGGCTGATGCAACAAGGCCTGGAAGTGTCCTGCAAATCACTCGAAGACAATGTGTGACATATGGGTCAGGCTAGGAAACAAATGCAGGCAATTGGCTGCCTTCTCAGCGTAGAAGCGAAAGATCTGTTTGCAGCTGGACTGTGCCGTCTCGCAGGCGCCGCTTCGCTGCAGATGCTGCGCGTTTGTTGGCGAGCACTCTGAAAGCAGACCTGGCAGCCAGGGAGCCAAGAGAACTAGATACACAATGATACGCAGCTCATCAAGGTTTGTGTTGCCACTCCATGTAAGTGTGCTGATAGAAAACAACTTGCATTTAATTTGACATATTTGACTTTATAAGATGCTCTATTGATGGAAGTCAAGTTGTCGTGCGTTCTGCATTTAGACATTCCTCCAGCTAGGCTCGACATGCCGAACTACAGCTGGATGAAATTTTGCAGGCGAGGTGTTTGATGGACTAGTCCTGATGTAACTTTGGATTCACACTTTCTTCATTCATATTGTCTGACAGCGTGTGCGCAAGAGATTGCGGCATCAAAAGAACGCAGTGTACTAAGATGGGATGGTCACGAAATGCACTGCACGAGGAACTAATGAAAGTGTTATGGGATAGGGAGTCACCTTAGCGACTGCATGAATTGTCAGCAAAATGAACCATTTACAGATAGTGCACTAGGATAAACCCCATCAGGTACAGTAGCTCTGAAAGTCTGCAGAACACGGAACTTGAGTTTGTTCTGTTCGTACGCATGGTTGCTGATTAAAGAAATCCATTGCCGATCAGGAACAGTTCCGATCGTCCGAAGCAGCTGGAAGCTGAGATTTGGCGTGTCCTGATGGCCTCCAGCATCTCCAACACAAAGGTCATGCGACTTCAGTCCCTTGAGAGGGCACCACTTGCACCGCATCATCCTTAGAGCCTTAGAGCAACATCTTGGACTCTAGCAGCTCTGTAGCATTGTGTAGCTTTAAAAGATATTAAAAGTAGTTCAAAGTATTTCACTCTGTCTCGGAGGTTGGTTTTGTCCTTGGCGGAAGTTGTGTCAGAAGAGCCACTTGCAGAGGACCCTCTGGCTCTCAGCCAAAATGGCGTGATTCGTATGATGGTAGGTAGATAATCCGCTTGCTTCTATCCAACACTCTCTTGTTGCGTCACCATGGCTATTCGCCAGAAAAAGACAGGTCTCTGCAGGCAGTCGAAGTCTCCACTAATAAGACGATGCTTCCCAGCAACAAGTGCAGACTTGTCAAAGATAGTTGTCTCCAAGCCCCAAGCTGCCGGTCATTCACATCTTGTTGTCAAGAGGATGCCTTGGTGATGTGGTTGAACATTGCCACTGGAATCAAAGATTTGCCTGAGGCCAGATATGGCCAGATCATCCTCACTGTTGATTTTGTATGATTTTGTTTCATCCTCGCCTATTATGAAAATGAAGCGTTTCGTCCAGGCGGCCACACTTCAGAGACACATCAACATGCATTTGGCAGGGAGCCAATATGCACTGACTGCTGCAATGGTATTGTACTTCTATGATCTTGTATGTTGCTTGAGTGGTCACTTGCCAAAACTAATGAGGCTAGGATTGCGGTTGCTGCTGAAAGTGCTACCGGTTATGCTGCTAGCTCAAAGATTGCAATGTGCTGTGAATTCTACCCACGTGTCAAAGCCCAGCATGACAACGTCCATGATTTCGTGATGGACCACTTACTATACCGTTCGCTGAAGAAATCCGAGATGTACAGAAATGAAAAGGATACTTGTCCGATTTCCAGTGCATCATTTGCAGTTCACATTTGGGTTTCTAAGGCAGGTCAGCTCTTGCAAGCCGCGCTTGGTGGATCAACCTTGGACAAAGGCAACTTGAATTTATGGGCGGCAGAATGAAAGAACCAGGGAAGTGATACATTTCTTCATATTGCTCCGTAGTTCCCGTTGCTTAGGGATCTTAGGGGCTCAACCACAACACAAGATTGCCGATGTGGCACGCTGAACATGGCCATATTTTGATACTGAATGATACTGATGTATTGTGCAATGTGACACTGTTCTATGATATATTATGATATACAATTATATACACCTGATTTATCATGATGTTCTATCGTCCAATATCCAGACTAATGAATGTGCTCGACAGTCATACGCTTCTGTGACACATGTTTACCACATCCTGACCTATGCCCCTTTTGCATCCCGGTGCCCAGATAGCTCTGTGGTCCGACTACTGGCAGCTTGCTTGAATCCACAACGACTTGCAGGCCCAGGAAAGAAGCAGTTGATTTGACAAGAGACTGGAAGACGATCATGAAGGAAAGGCTTGCTGCCACCTTAGCTCACACTATAATATATAGTTTAACATAATGTTATATATATATATATACTATACATATATATATATATACATATTCTAACGTATGATACATATCTATACACATACATATGTACAGATACTGTAGTTGAGAAGCTGGACTCCAGGTTGATGCCAATCTGTTTAGCTATGGGAGGAGTTGGATTAGGTTTCAGAAATATGGACTGAGAGGATTCATCTGAATAAATTCAACCTGTCCCCAACCTGTCCACCGTTGCACTGCTTAAGCAGGCCAAGTGGGGAAAGTGGAATTATGGCCAGTGTTGTCCACTGCACTTTGGTGGCCGGCACGGCGGTGCTATCCTTGGAGTTTGGTCTTGGATTTGGTTGCGAAATCTGTGAGAAATCTGTAGATATCAACTGATGTAGTTCAATTTCCATATTGAAGTGATGTGTTTTGTTGTGATTTGCATTCAATGTAGTCAACTGATATTTCGTTCAGTTTGATTCAGGCTCTCGCAGCTTGTGTTGAACGTCCTTCCAGAAATCTTCACAGAGCTCAAAGTGCGGCTATGATTTCTGCTGGGTCAAGGTCTCAATAGGGAACAATACAATTTTGATCACATAGTCTACCCTTGAAGAACCAGGTGTAGCCTTTGAGTATTATCCTCCTGTTTGCAACACTTTCTTTTTGACCAGATGTCCACTTGAGAACACATAGCATAATATTGCACAATACTTTCAGCTGACAGGTACTCACACCAAACGGCTATGTCAAAGGAGGGCGCAGTATTCTCAGTCATTCACCCATTGTTTTTCCAATTGTTCGGCAGAAGATGCCCCAGGTTTAGATTGCAGCAGCAAGTTCCTGGATTTTGGTGTTCGTTTGCCTGTGCCGCCCTCACCTGCAGCACCAAAAAAAGAGACCACGTTGATGGAAACACACCATCATGGTCCGAGAATGCTCGTAGGAGCGCAGCAACATATACCACATTATGATATGTCAGTGATCTTCCATGCAAGTTGTTTCAAAGCATTTTTATGCATTTTTACCCTAGCTGCATCTTCAGTGTAGCCTCGTGCTGAGGTGCTGCGATCGATTCATTGCCTCTATTGTTGCAGCTTGGTTTAGCGAACACGGTTGGACAGTTGTGGCGCAGTATGACTTGCAGCTTGTTTAATGAAATCAGATACTACACGGTCACATTGTCACATTGTCCTTGTCAGGCGTGGTTGCACAGTCTATCCAATACCCTTCAGAGGCAGCAGGGTGTCGTTTGGGCCAGCATTCAATAAGATCACACTAGATGCATGAACTCCAAAGCTTAAAGCTCGCGAGGCATCCAACTTCTTGCGATCCGCTTGTGAGGCACCAGCGGAGATTGAGAACTGGATATATTGGATCGCTTTCGCCAAATTTGGCAAATGCAGCAAGTTCAATATAGTTCAATTGGATTTGCCCCTTGAGGTCACTCGAAATGCAGTTGGCAGCTTGAAGGTTGCGACTTGGCTGAGATATGATGGGATTCTGCTTTGAGCTGAGCAGTCAAGACCTGAGGCGTCGCTTCAATGTCTGTCTGGACATTTGGCGGCCTTTCTGCGTTGGCCTTAATTGGACCATGTAGAGAATTCACTTCTGGAACAGATTTTCAAGACATCACTTGGAAAACCAGAGGGTCAAGAATGTTGTCACACATCTGCGTTTGTCCAGCATTTTGCTGACATGCATGGAAGAAGTGCAGAGGATTCTATCCATGCCAGCTCAATTTGGGAAGATGTGCAGAAACCTCCTAGAAGCAAGTGGAACACTGTCAGGAGCACCTTTCTGGACGCCGTTCCACCAAGCCCATCACCAGGGATGAGAGCTGCACTGTTGCTGGTGCAGTCTTTGCGGAGGACTGACGTGCTTGACTTCCCTACAGCAGAATCGTGGATCTCTGTGAAAAAGAAGGGAAGACTCGGACTGGACAGGAGAATGTCATACTTAAGTCATCCTGTGAGTATGTTTCATACTCGTATGATCACATATTTTACAAAAAAGACAATTGAAATCCATTACTCATGACATGTTTCTGCTACAGGTGTTTCCATCCTACATGTGCAGTCGTCCTTGGCACAAATCCCCAGGAAATTGGGAGGAAAAGCAGCCACAAATCTGCAAGCAGTGCATGGAATCGGAAGGAACGAAAGACGGCCAAAGGATACAGCCTGGGGATACACCCAAAATGATCCTAAATGTGGTACCATAGTATACAATAATAGTAGTACCTGTTTTTGTGGAGTGGAGCCGTCCATTTGCACCTTTTTAAGGGATTTTAAGGGGACGTAAAGTCCTGCATGGCGTATTGTTTTTGATGGTATCCGCTTGTTACAGGGAGTTAAAAGCTGCAATGGTTTTGGCAGATTCGGTGTTGACGAACCAATAAGGCCATCATCGTGTCTTTCACCACCAGACACAGTTGTGAAGAAATAGTAGCGTGACAACTGAGTTCGTACTAAGGACTGCTTAAGTCCTGTCGAGAACCAGCTGAAGTTTGCAGCCTCTCAAAGTGCTTGACGGGATGAAGAAGGATGAAGTATTGCTTCAAGCATTGCTTGATGACTCGCCTCCATCGACTGCTTAGCTCATGGAAGTGCAGCTGCATCATCCTGCGACTTGATGAAGGGACCATATGCAACGAGAAGATGATGGCGAGGAGGTCTCCACAAAGGCGACTGCTGTGGCTCCTGGCAACCTGGATGATCTGGATATCCTTTCCACTGCTTTTTCTCTTTATGAAGGGAATTGTACATAGTCTCATAGTGAGAATCTTTGAGAGCAGTATGTAGTGTTGAAAAAAGTGTGCACACTTTGGTTTTGGCTCCAGCTTGCTTCGCATGGCATCACTGTTCAGTGCTTTTGTTTGCATCACTGTCTTTTGACTGTTCAAGATTATTGAATCCAAGAGATGTAAGAGGTGAGGCACTGCGCAGCATATCTCACACGGATTACGTGGGAACAGACGCTGCCACTCTTTCTTCAAGCAACCTGTAGGGTGATTGACCAAACAGTGCTTGGTTCCTGCTGATCAGCAAGATGTCGCTTTACAACTGGGCAAAGTATGACCCGAAGTACTACCTGAACGGTGCCCTGTGCGGAGGAATTTGTTGCTCAATCACACATGGTGCCTTATGTCCAGTGGACGTCGTGAAGACTCGTATCCAGCTGGACCCAGTGAAGTACCAGGGTGGTTTGCTGAGTGTTGGTAAGCAAGTCGTGGCCGAAGAAGGTGCTGGCGTGCTGGCCACTGGTTTGGGACCCACTGCAGCCGGCTACTTTGTGCAAGGCTGGTTCAAGTTTGGTGGCAATGAGTTTTTCAAGATCCAGTTCTGCAAGTCTTTGGGTGACCAAAAGGCTTGGGACATGAAGACACCCATCATGCTTGGTGCCTCTGCTTGTGCGGAGTTCATTGCGGACATCTTCCTGTGCCCCTTGGAAGCAGCTCGAATTCGTCAGGTGTCTGATCCAACCTTCCCCAAGGGCACCTTCACTGCGATGAAGGAGTTGATGGCCAGAGAGGGAATCATGGGCTGGTACGCCGGCCTTGTTCCAATTCTGTTCAAGCAGATCCCCTACACCATGGCCAAGTTTGCAGTTCAGGGCAGCACAGAGATTTCCATCTACAGTGCATTGCCAACCAAGAGAGAGAACCTGAGCAAGGCATCCAAAATGGGTGTTTCCGTGACCTCTGGCTTCATTGCTGGAGTCGCAGCGGCCATCATTTCGCACCCCGCAGACTCGCTCCTCTCAAAGATCAACAAGAAGGGTGCCGGTGGAGATGGTGGCATGCTTTCCCGCCTTGCAAACATTGCCAAAGAGACGGGCTTTGTCAAGCTTTGCACGACTGGTCTTGGACCAAGGTGCATCATGATTGGCACGCTCACAGCAGGACAGTTCTTGATCTTTGACACCTTGATGCCCATCATGGGCGTTGAGAAGTTCCACTTCCACGATCCATCTAAGCCTCATTGAGCAGTGGAGCATGACGACGTCAATTTGGTTTTGTGTGAACCCTTGTGACCCTGCCCAATGGGCAAGTACAACCTTAGGGAAAGCAGATCAAATCAAAAGGCAAGCTAATGAATGGTGCATGATATAAATACGTACTTTAATAGTTTGTCTGGTAATAATAAAAGGACCGGATAACCCCACAAGTCAACTTCTTCCAATAATGAGCCAGAAATGTTGTAGCGGGGACGGGGAAGGAAGGAAAGACAAAGGAGGAGGTGGAGGAAAGATGGTGTGTGACAAAGTTGCGTGTGAAAGATGATGTGTGTGAAAGATGGTGTGCGAAAGATGGTGTGTGACAAAGCTGTGTGTGTGTGTGAAAGATGGTGTGTGAAAGATGGTGTGTGACAAAGTTGTGTATGAAAGACTGTGTGTGACAAAGTGGTGTGTGAAAGATGGTGTGTCAAAGATGGTGGGTGACAAAGTTGTGTGTGTGAAAGATGGTGTGGAAAAGATGGTGTGTCAAAGATGGTGTGAGAAGTGGAGCTGTGATGGGTTGTGATGAGAAATGGAGCGGTGATGAGTTGTGATGAGAAGCCCAGCTGCGATGAGTGGATGGTAAGAAGTGGGGCTGTGATGAGTTGATGGTGAGAAGTGGAGCCGTGATTGGGAGCTGTGATGAGTTCAGCTGTGATGGGTGGATGGTGAGAAGTGGAGCTGTGATGAGTTGATGGTGAGAAGTGCCCAGCGGCGCCCACGCGCGCCGCAGCTCGAGCAGGAGGCTCTGTGTACTGCGCCTGCCACACGAAAGGCAGCCGCGGCCCAGCGGCGCCCACGCACGCCGCAGCTCGACCAGGAGGCTCTGTGTACTGCGCCTGCCACACGAAAGGCAGCCGCGGCCCAGCGGCGCCCACTCGCGCCGCAGCTCGACCAGGAGGCTCTGTGTACTGCGCCTGCCACACGAAAGGTAGCCGCGGCCCAGCGGCGCCCACGCGCGCCGCAGCTCGACCAGGAGGCTCTGTGTACTGCGCCTGCCACACGAGCGCCGCAGCTCGACCAGGAGGCTCTGTGTACTGCGCCTGCAACACGAAAGGCAGCCGCGGCCCAGCGGCGCCCACGCGCGCCGCAGCTCGACCAGGAGGCTCTGTGTACTGTGCCTGCCACACGAAAGGCAGCCGCGGCCCAGCGGCGCCCACGCGCGCCGCAGCTCGACCAGGAGGCTCTGTGTACTGCGCCTGCCACACGAAAGGCAGCCGGGACCCAGCGGCGCCCCCGCGCGGCGCAGCTCCTCCAGGAGGCTCTGTGCACTGCGCCAGTGAGTGAGTGAGTGAGTGAGGGAGTGAGGGAGTGAGGGAGTGAGGGAGTGAGGGAGTGAGGGAGTGAGGGAGTGAGGGAGTGAGGGAGTGAGGGAGGGAGGGAGTGAGTGAGTGAGGAGGCGGCGGAGGAGGAGGAGGCGGAGGCGGAGGCGGTGCCCCGGCGGGATCCAAGCGAAAAACAAGAACCCCACACAGTGATGTGGGGAAATATACATATAATATTATATATATAATATAGTTATTTGATACGTATATGTGCATAGTATTCGTATCTATGAATTGGAATGCAGTATATTATATTTACATATATGCGTCATATGCGTGCACACCATTTTATATGTATTCATCATTATATATCTATCTATGTTACTTTGTTTGATGTTATATCCTATTATATATATATATATATATTATCAAAGGAAGTTGGGAAGCAATTTCCGAGTTACGAATGACTTTTTACTTGGTGCAATTGACTATGATGAAGGGTGGTAGATCCTGTAACAATACATAATGTACCAATACATCACAAACCAATAAGAAGCAATGAAATTGACCTTGAGGAAGGGTGGTAGATCATATAACAATACATAATATAACAATACATAATGTACCAATACATAACAAAAGAATAAGAAGCTATGAAATTGACCTTGAGGAAGTGATGATGAAGGGGAGTGGTGACGAAGGGAAGCGGTGAAGAAGGGAAGTGATGATGAAGGGGAGTGGTGACGAAGGGAAGTGGTGAGGAAGGGAAGTGGTGACGAAGGGAAGTGGAGAGGAAGGGAAGTGATGATGAAGGGGAGTGGTGAGGAAGGGAACTGGCAACCATGAAGGGGAGTGGTGCATGAATGTTGCATGGGCTATGTTTTGGGGAGGAAGCTGGAGCACGAAACCTTGTGTTTTTCCGTGTAAAGTGGCTGCAGCCGGCGATGAAAGGTACCTCGTCTGTGCGACGGGTGCGGCTGGGGTCGTTTCTGTCGCGAATTGTTCCTCCTATGTGTTTTGCAAGGAGTGGTTGTTCCTGTGTGCGTAGTTCTATGCGTTTCTTGAAGCTGTGGTTGCTGATCGCATTGCAATGGCTGCATGAATGTTGCATGGGCTATGTTTTGGGGAGGAAGCCGGAGCACGAAACCTTGTGTTTTTCCGTGTAAAATGGCTGCAGGCGACGATGAAAGGTACCTCGTGTGTGCGACGGGTGCGGCTGCTGTCGTTCCGGACGCGATTGGTTCCTTCTATGTGTTTTGCAACAAGTGGTTGTTCCTGTGGTGTAGTTCTATGCGTTTCCTGAAGCTGTGGTTGCAGATCGCATTGTAATGGCTGCATGAATGTTGCATGGGCTATGTTTTGGGGAGGAAGCCGGAGCACGAAACCTTGTGTTTTTCCGTGTAAAGTGCCGGCGATGAAAGGTACCTCGTCTGTGCGGCGGTTGCGGCTGGGGTCGTTTCTGTCGCGAATTGTTCCTCCTATGTGTTTTGCAACGAGTGGTTGTTCCTGTGTGCGTAGTTCTATGCGCTTCTTGAAGCTGTGGTGGCAGATCGCATTGGAATGGCTGCATGATTGTTGTCATTTGGTGTTGCCACGTCCGTAGATAGGTGCAGGTTTGCTACGGGATGCTGCGAAACGCATTGTAGTGGCTGCGTCAAGGTTGCTCGGTGCTGCGGCTGCATGCGTAATACTATTGTCTTTTGCAGCTGAAGATCGTAAATCGTATTGGAATGGCTGCATCAAGGCTGCGAAAGTGATTTGTCAGCAGATTTTCTTAATTTTGGCGCTAATAATTTTCCTTTTAAAATTCCTTTTAAAAAGTGCTTCAAAATCGTCTTTTTGTCGCTTTGGCGTCGAGATCCGGTTTTGGAGCTGCAATTTCCGACGCCATTGCACGTAGTTCTATTGTGTTTTGCAACTCAGTCTCTGCAGATCGCGTTGTAGTGGCTGCGTCAAGGTTGCTTGGTGCAGCGGCTGCATGCGTAATACTATTGTCTTTTGCAGCTGAAGATCGTAAATCGTATTGGAACGGCTGCATCAAGGCTGCGAAAGTGATTTGTCAGCAGATTTTCTCAATTTTGGCGCTAATAATTTTCCTTTCAAAATTCCTTTTAAAAAGTGCTTCAAAATCGTCTTTTTGTCGCTTTGGCGTCGAGATATCCGGTTGTGGAGCTGCAATTTCCGACGCCATTGCGCGTAGTTCTATTGTGTTTTTCAACTCAGTCTCTGCAGATCGCGTTGTAGTGGCTGCGTCAAGGTTGCTTGGTGCAGCGGCTGCATGCGTAATACTATTGTCTTTTGCAGCTGAAGATCGTAAATCGTATTGGAATGGCTGCATCAAGGCTGCGAAAGTGATTTGTCAGCAGATTTTCTCAATTTTGGTACAATGTGAAGTGTGAGGAAAGTGTTTGCATTCTACCGGGGTCGCGCGCAGGTCATGTTCTTGGACAGCAACACTGCAACAGCTTCGCACAAAGCACGCACGCACGGGCCTGGCTGGCGCACGGCGCATGCAAGTTCCTTAGTAGTAGTGCTGGGAAGTGATTCATGAAAGCTTAGGTGACATATGAGAAGAGATGAGATGAGAAGAGATGAGCTGGGATAAGGTGAGAAGAGCTCAGATGAGATGAAGTGTGGAGTGTGAAGAGTGCAGTGTGAAGTGTGGGGCGTGAAGAGTGCAGTGTGAAGTGTGGAGTGTGAAGAAAGCAATGAGAAGTGAGAGGTGTGAAGTGTGGACTGTGAAGTGTGAGGTGTGGAGTGTGAAGTGTGAAGTGTGGATTGGGAAGAGTGCAGTGTGAAGTGAGAAGTGTGGAGTGTGAAGTGTGCAGTGTGGAGTGTGAAGAGTGCAGTGAGAAGTGTGAAGGGCGAAGTGGAGATTCAAATGTGATATGTGAAACAGGACACCACTTTCGCAGAATGCACGCACGCACGGGCTTGGCTGGCGCACGGCGCATGCAAGTTCTATAGATGAGAAAGGTCTTATATATATCTTTAAGGCAACTTCCGCCCCGCCTCGTGCGGGTACTACTGGTATTGGCTTATATCACCATATACTATGTTATAGTGATTCCTATTGTTATTTGACAAGTTTTTTTAATTGTATTGACTATTCCCGCCTTACATATCTGAGCTTATCTATTTCCTCTATCTCATTTATCTCCTCTATCTCATATTACCTCATATACCTTGAAGATCCTTGAAGTATGAATGCATATGAATGCTTTCTAGCTTAATGTATCCATCCTATTTGTTTTTCCCTACTTATTGTAATCTAGTTTTGCTTGTTTAGCTTTGTACTTGATCTATCCACTTGTTTCCATCTCTCTCATGTATCCTATGTTCTTTTATATTATTCATCCTGTTATATTTTACTGTTTACTTATGAACAGGGATACGCATTCTTGATTAGCTAGGGCGGTGTTTCTTGGGGATTGTAAACCCAGAAGTGAGGACTGAATAATGGCTGAAGGAAGTTTTTTCTTGGGCTAGTTCGTAAGCGTTGCCGACCGATGGGTAAGTGAATCTTTCAGGAAAAGATATAAAGATGGGTAGATTGTACGAATGAAAACGTTATTCACAAGGTTCCAATTACAGCTCCCTTGCCTCCTCTTCTAAATAGTAAATTAATTGTCCGAAGAACAAATGCAATAATTATATATGTTGTTGCAAGGTGCTTGCTAGATATGTGTTTTTATTAGGTGAAATGGTTTTGGGTTGAAATGGTTTTGGGTTGAAATAAGTCTATTTGATATTCTCTTCAGAATTTCAGACATCATCTCAGCTTTTCCTAAGTTGTCTCAATTTTCTCAGCCCTTCTCCACTTTTCTCTAAGTAA